ATAAGTATTTACTTAAAGTAATACTTGAGTACAGTATAAATCTTCCAAGATAACACTGAAGAGGACGACAAGAACAATTACTCAAGTATTTTCCAGCCCTGTAAACAACAGGCGTTTATTTATCTATTTCTTTTTGCCAAACTGTAAGACGCTGTCAGTGTAAATGGGTAGATTTCATTTCATTCACTAATCCAGTATCTGATACCACTGACGACTTCTGTCTTACATCATCGTCTGCGAAAAGCAACCTGACTGCAGGGTTAAAATGTACTGGCTAAACCCATCTAATACACAAAGTCAGTGGCTTGTTGCAGATGTTACATTCAGCACTTAACCTTGTGCTGATGGGAAAGGATTGCTTGGTAATGTACTGGACATGATGAGAGGACATAAACAAGTGGAGAGAATGATTGTAAAGTGTTCTGTCTGGAAGGCGCGGTGGCTGAGTGGAGGGAGCGCCAAACAAAGAAAGTGGTGACATCACTGCATGACTGAATTCATACGGCAGACGATAAATAACTGTATCAAAATAGTTGAAGACTCGATGATGTGATTAACGCCATCATACCTAATGTGCTGTTGGTGACACCTCCAGAGACTTTGGCTCTGTTCCACCAATCTCATTAAAATCTGCCACCAGAGTACTTGGGCTGCATGCATATCCATTAGTGAAATGGATCAGCATGCAGAATAGATTTCTATGTGCTACAGTGTTTTCTATAACCAATTAAAGATGCACAGTGCTGCATTCATTGTTGGATGCACTGTGATTTGAGTGAGCACTAAGGGCCTAATATTGATTTGTTTCAATTAGTGTAACAGAACAAGGTGACTGATACATGAAGTATATGCCTATTGACATGTTTGCTTGCTCAAAATGGTCATTTGGTCATTTTTACACATCAAAACAAATCACAATATTACATTAAAAGGCAGAAATAAGAGTTTTTCTGGCTCAGGACTTACTATATAGGAGCACTTTGTAGTTCTACAGTTACAGACTGTAGTCCATCTGTTTCTCTGATACTTTGTTAGCCCCCTTTTACCCTGTTCTGCAATGGTCAGGACCCCCATGGACCCTCACAGAGCAGGTACTATTTGGGTGGTGGATCATTCTCAGCACTGCAGTAACACTGACGTGGTGGTGGTGTGTTAGTGTGTGTTGTGCTGGTCTGAGTGGATCAGACACAGCAGTGCTGCTGGAGTTTTTAAACACCTCAGTGTCACTGCTGGACTGAGAATAGTCCACTAACCAAAAAGATCCAGCCAACAGTGTCTGGTGGGCAGCGTCCTGTGACCACTGATGAAGGACCAGAGGATGACCAACACAAACTGTGCAGCAGCAGATGAGCTGTCGTCTCTGACTTTACATCTACAAGGTGGACTGACAAGGTAGGAGTGTCTAAAAGAGTGGACAGTGAGTGGACACAGTGTTTAAACACTCCAGCAGCACTGCTGTGTCTGATCCACGTAGACCAGCGCAACACACACTAACACACCACCACCACATCAGTGTTACTGCAGTGCTGAGAATGATCCACCACCCAAATAGTACCTGCTCTGTGAGGGTCCATGGGGGTCCTGACCATTGCAGAACAGGGTAAAAGTGGGCTAACAAAGTATCAGAGAAACAGATGGACTACAGTCTGTAACTGTAGAACTACAAAGTGCACCTATATAGTAAGTGGAGCTGATAAAATGGACAATGAGCGTAGAAACAAGGAGGTGGTCATAATGTTATGCCTGATCTGTGTACATTTCTGTAATTAGAAGCTACTTTATATGGTATCCACATCCACAAAAACAAGGATTTTCACAGTGCACTCAACCAAATCTCAGTGAATCCTGCTGTTGTTAAGGCGCAGATTCATCAAAGATCATGAGTTCATTACTCAATGATATACTTCTGCCATCACCTCAAGGACAGCACAGGAATAAGACGATTATTAAGCGGTGCTGACAGGTGGATACACAAGGTGAACACAGGAGCTTTATCACTGTATCATAGTAGCACTGAAATAAATCAGAAATCCTTGTCTCCTTTCATCTGACCTTGAGACAAGGGCGACGCACAGAGGGTATCTTTATCACGAATGAACGCAGGAAAACGGGGCGGACGTTGTCTGAAGATCTAAAATGAAAGCTGATGAATGACTTGAGCTCCGAATAATGTAGCCTTGAGGGACGGAGCCCGGACAGTCACAAGACATTCATGAGATTTGTTTACCTTGTTATGGTACCTGGAACATGCATAGGTTTGGTGCACTTTCATGCAGATTATATAAGAAAGTACAGTCATTAGAGTGCACAGCAATGCTGTAGCCTACCAGAACAACATGTCCTGTAACTTCTAACAGTTCAAACCCAGCAGGAGACGGCACTGACCGAGAACCAAAGTGAAGTGGGCTGCTAAACTTCCCACCTCTTGTTACACAGTCTGGAACCCTGTATGCGAAGGCCTCACTGTACCACTGATGACACGAGGGCTGCATAATATACTTTTGTTAATCGTTTAGGAAAAATTAATCATTTAACAAAAATAAATGATAGCAATGTTGATATACAGGGAGAGTCACTTGAAAGAGGCCCAGAATGTTCTGTTGTAACTCCCATTAGGATGAGTGAAGGGGTACGGGGGTATGCACCCTGAATTTGCAAACGGAGGTCAAACGTTGCAACGGCCGTCCGGCGCCCACCTCATCGCTCCCACAGGGGCATCCCGGCTTGTTCGAAGCTCCATATACTGAGGAGCACATTGCACGTTGTTTCGTTCAGATTGCTTTGTCCTAGCGAGAGTTATTACAGAATATTCAGGGCCTCTTTCGAGTGAATCTCCCTGTAGAAGGCAGCAATATGCAAATCGTCACTGTCCAAAATAGCAAATTAACAGAGGCAAAGATTTCCTTTACTTTTAATGTAAGTGATTTTATTCCAAGCAATTTTGGACCAATAGCCACACAATGTAAAGGGCAGCTGCTGTGCTCAAAAGATGTAGAAAAAAAAAAAATGTAGATACTTGGTCTTTTTTTGGACAGAGATCACATGAGCCTTCTAACTCATTGCAATTTTTAACTGGGTGTTGTGAGCATTTTGACCAATCACAGTTTCAGATGACTTTTTCTGTTGGTGTTTTGATGAAGCAAAGGTAAATATTTTGGTAAAAATAATGCACACCAGTCTCATATTACTGTTCTAATATAAGACACAGCATAGTGGAATCGTAATACGCAGCAATAAAATCACAGTACCAGCATTTTGTCCATATCATGCAGCCCTAGATGATCCTGAAACATTCTCAGGAGACTCTTCTCTCTTGTTTTTCTTCTTAATATCTTAACTCTCAGGCCTGCTCTGACATTTGCCAGGCCATTGCGCCTGATATACATCAAAACACAGTCGGCAGGCTGTGGATATGGTAGCAACCTGACTGTACTCTTATCATTACTGGTACCCTTCACAACAATGAAAGCATCTATGCGTATAGTGATGGAGATAAGAGTCTGGTAAGAACCGCGATATGACAGCAGCTGATGTAATAAAATTAGCAGTGAGCATTCTCCCTCCAAGAGTGTTGAGCTGTCCAGTGATGTTATGTTGACAGTTCAAAAAGATCCAGTTTGTGTCTCAGTGGGGAAGTTCAGGGGGAAACCTAACTAGTGGGTGGAATTGGCCCTGACTAAATGGGGCAGCCCAGGCTAAGATTAGGTCATGGTTGAATTTTCCTTTTTCTTTGCTCATCTTTACAAACAGTACCAAGAATTCTGGAGGGCAACATATAAGCTAAAAGCAACAGTGATACATGTCAAACAATCAAGCTAAAGGTATATTTTACTGATATTCGGCAGTGAATGCCCACTGAAAGGCAAAGCTATTGAGCAGAACCAATAAGACTCATCACTTATCAGTATAAGAGTATGTTACTTAACCTTGATATAGGTAAATGTAGGAAAGTTCTGATTGGCCCTGTGTTGCTCCAAAAAGCAGCCTGTGCTAATACACTCCTTATAACTTAACTGTGAATAGGTGGGATTAAACTGCTGTAGGCTGAGCAGGAGGACATAAATGCCATTTAACAGTTACCATTTTACATTAGGCTCACAAACCTTTCAGTAGCCAGGTTTACATGCAGCCTAATAATCCATAAATGATCTGACTGATAGCTCAATTGGAACAGAATACGTCCATTTATACACCTCAGTCGGAATAGACTAGTCCAGTTGAGACCATTCGGAATACAATTTCTACCAATTGAACGAAGATCCTGTAAATAATCCATTAAATAGAAGAATAATAACAGTGTAAACACTTGTATCTGATTACATTCCCAATCAGAACATGTAAGTACGTTCTGATCATGTTCGTCACGTCATAGCGAACGTTTATAACGGTCAACATGGTGGAGCAGAAACTGGTCTGCAGAGGAGACGAAGCTCTGGTCTTTAAAAGACGACGGTGGGACGGACGTCCAGCTTATGTGTCTCAGAACACGACGTCTTCCTCTCGGCCTTCTTTAATAAGGACATGTGAAGGACGTTTTCCTGAGTCTGACATCATTTTAAAGCATTTAAAAACACAAGCGCGCCAACTGAGAACTCAGCTCACTCTGACTGGACCTCACGCGATGCTCGTTGCCATGGTAACGTCTACATTAAGTGGTTCTCTACACATGTGCATCATTTTGGATCTGAATACTTGTAGTGAGCATGTAAACAGAGATTTTCCATCAGATTATTGAGTAGAGTGAGAATAAACACCTCAACCTTAATCTGTAATCGGAATGTATTCAATCGGATTGGCAAAAATCTTTGCATGTAAACACAGCCACTGTAAAAATTTAAGCCAATTTACAGCTTTTTTTAATTAACTTGAGGGAACAGGATTTTACAAATGCCCTCACGGTGCATTAACTCAAAAGCTGTGAAGTTGCCCTAAGATTTTAAGTTGACTCAGCCTTTCTTTATTAAAATACATGCTGTCAGCATCCTGCTGATTCTGCTCACCTGAGGATTGTCTTCCATGACGCCACGGATCTTCTCCACCACATCAATGCGCCGGTGGCGGTGGAGCGCATTGATCAGTTTGGCCAGGTTGGCATCACTGTCACGGATGGTCCAGTGCTGTAGGGCGGCATATGCTCTCTCATGGTCAGCCGAGTAGCCGTTGGAGAAGGCCGCTACCTCGCGTTCAGTGGCATTAGCCAAGGACTGGTACATGTCAATCCACTGGCTGCCAATCTGGGCTGCCACCAGCTTCAGGATATCAACACCTGAAACAAAAACAATATGATGAGTTAGTCTTATCGTTGGTTCATCTCAAAAGGAACTGAAAAAATTAGGAGTATTATAATAAATGGGTGGTGAGGTCATGAATGAGTATCTGAGGTCATTAACAGGATTGTGATATTATCATAAATGGTGCCATTTAGTGTTCATTCTGCATCGTCAATTTGTTATATATTATGTTTGCATTTTTGAGTGTCCATTAAAATCATGCTGAACACATATAACATGCTGCCTGAACTAGGTCGACCTGAGTTTACGGTACGAGTCTGGGTTAAATCGATAATGAATTCAATGAAGTTACTTGTTCCAGACCTGACCCACTGGCCTTTCTTTTAAAGGGGCCATACCCTACATTTTTTATGTATGTTAAGGTCCACTTATGTCATTGTGTGGGTTAATGCACCAGACATACAACAGTAATAATTTTTACATAACCTTTTAATGTTTAAATAAAACATGTTTTTGTTACTGTTGTCGTAGGAACAAAACCTCGTATCTCCAAAATGGTAACTTTACAGGAGAAGGAAAAAAACATACTTTACTTTTAATGTAAGTCAATGGAACCAGACTTTTTTCCAAGTCATTTTGGGTCATTTCCTTTGGACCATTCACCATAAAACTTACAATGTAAAGACCAACAGGCATTTTCGAATTACGTCAAAAACTGAAAAAATGAAAAAAATGGAGATACAAGGTTTCGACTCAACAGCAGAGATATGTAAGTGACCTAATTCTGATTGGCTGCCCTGCAAACGACAGCCCTGTGGCTAAAATACACCATAATTTTGATGTGAATGGTTTGACATCACAAAAACACTGAATTCAAAATGGGTAGTGTTTGCAGCTTGGTCTCCATATATGGACTCTATGGACTGAATGGTACATTTCAACTATGTTCACATTAAACTTGTATTTTTTTAAAAGCAAGTGAAATTAGGTTTTCCATTACACGACCATGACGGCCACCATTACAGAAATGACCAGACAAATGCATTTCAAAGACTGAACGACATCCACTGGGTTAAGTAAGTAGGTCATCAAGCATCACTGAGCATGTAAATATGTGATACCTCACAAAAACTTATACATACTTAACCCTTGTGTGGTGTTGATGTGTTTGTTACTCAGTGGTCTGGTGGACCCACCACATTATTGTTTTATTTAAATAATATCCATAACAATTTAAGTAAAAATATCACAAGCGTCCAGAGTAGGGTTCTCCTTTAGCAGCTGTAGCCAGTCAGCAGCCTGTCCATGTTGTCCACCCTCACACACACACACACAGACACACACACACTAACAACAGGCCATGTAGGAGGAGAACAGAGTGAAGGACACAGCGCCTCCACACTTTTACTCCCCGCAGGTTCACCCAACACCACATGTGTAATATAAATGTGTGGGGGGTGAACAGAGTGAAGACACTGAAAATGGGTTATTTTATATGTTCTTCACAGAAAATGAGCAAAGACCAAGAATCTGAGGTTTAAATTATAATAAATCGCATCATTTTTTCTTTTGATGAACATTAAAAATGGGTCCTACAGACCTGAAAACCATAAGAGGGTTAAAATGCCAACATGTGCCATGCATGAGGTCCTCACCAGTGTCTAGGTAGAATACATGATAAAATTAAGACAACATTCTTCACAGCCTTTGAATTGAATAGGCTGCAATCATTGGTTTTGTACCAGATATTCACTGCACATCATTTTATTCTGCACAGCCCCACCCTAACACTCATATCAGCAAACTTGTGAGTTGCTTCAAGGCTGATAAGTCAGCTCTGACTTGACATATTTCACTTATGATTACTCGTGATGTATAATATAGGTCAAATGCTGTTTACAGACTCGGATGCTCTAATTCTGTGAGAGTTTGCTGACTCATTTTGTTTTTATAGCTTCTAGCCTGTGAGCGCTCAGAGCTCAGGATGGTGCTTTTCGTAAAGAAACGAAATAAACATTAGGTTGCTTTTTGGAGGACGGCTTGTTTTTGCCTTGTAGGCACTCAACAGTACGTCACCTCATATGACAGCAACCAGCTGCTGTATCTGATAACATCTACGCTAAACAGCCACACTACATACCGAAGTGCAGGTAACTAAAAAAGAATGAAGCTCAGCTGAATGATTAAGCCTTAGGAGCTGGAATTATTGCCGGTGATATCAAAAGCGTAGTGTAATTTGATATTATTTTTTGCTCATAGCTAAATCAAACAAAGGAATTCTGTTGCAAAAGCACAGATTAGAAACTTTCAATCATTACCACATTGCTTGTAAGTGGAATAGGAGACGATTTGAATTCAATAAAAAAGCTACTGTTGCGCACAGTCTTGTTTTGCGCAAAGAAAGAAAAAAACGTATAATTTTGCCATGTTTTCTTAACAAAAGTCAGTGTAAAACTAATTAAATGTAATTCTATGCATAACAATTCATTTTACCATGTATTTATGTAATTACTTTTGAGCAGTATCACAATATGTAATAACCCTCAGCTTCTAAGCGTTGGTGTGGAACATTTATCATGCAATTTCCACATAATATCCACGTAAACCAAGCCTTTAATATGCCGAGATATATTAGAAATGCAATTGTAAAAAGCCGCGCAATTACAGTTTCAACACGGATCACTGTAATCCCTGCTTACGATTTGCTCCCCCCTTCAAAGTAAACTGTAACAGGATGATTACAGAGTTGTTAGTGGAGAGGATTAAAGCTTCTATCTATAAGCCAGATCTGCTTTGTTTGCGGTTCATCTATCTGCAGCAGATTCGCCGAGGCTCTTTGGGGGATAGCGTGCCACGGATCAGGCGGCCACTCGAAAAGCGCTTGGCTCTGCAGGCCGGCTGGGTGCTTGTCGCTTTCAGCTGGTTCAGTAGAACGACAGTGGGCGGGAGGGAGTCACTCTCACGCTTCTGTAAACTGACCGGACTGAATTTTTTTATTCCGCATGTGATGGTATTGAAGGGTTGCTGCCCTACTCCCTAAGGCAGTGTCTGTGGTGGAACTCGAAACATGCGCCGTTTCCCTTCGATAGCCACTCCTGATTACTGTTGTTTATAGATCTGGTCTATTTAACTGGATTATGGCCGCTTAACAAAATGTCAGGTTCTAAATTGAGCAACTAAGGGTGAGCGTCTCTGTAGACATTCTCTATTGAGACGCTGTAGAAACAACGCTTTTCTGGAGCTCTTATGAGAACTTTTGCATGGTTTCCCAAAGGTTGTCATCATATGGTTTAGGACAGATGTATCTGGATTAGCATTATGGAGAAATATAGCCTTTTTTGTAGGGTTACAAATGCAGACATTTTAGCGCTGAAGCCCAGTGTCACCCAAACATTCTGCCCTCCTGAAATGAAATAAATACATCAAACATCAGTTTGAAATTTGTCAGTCAAATCTAAACATCTATCTGACTAATTTTTAAGCAATTATGTGATTTTAAGTAATTATCATGCATCCCTAGTGTACCAGCAGAAAATACTGGCTAAGATAAAAGAGGATAAAAATAACAAATTGCATCTGATTGTCACAAATCAAGCCTGAAATTTCAAGGAATTGCTCACAGATCAGCATAACATAGAGCAAAATAAAGCAGATCATGTAATAACAGAAACTAAATGTAACATAATGTACAGCAACGTAAAGTAGGTGGCTAATATTATACTAGAACTACTTTAATTCTAATTTCCTTAGAATAGTCTATTTTGCACACATTTGCACTGTAATTGATATTTCTTTCTGTTTTTCGTAAAAGAGTTTAACAGAAGCCCTTTTTGTATAAGTCATGATCCTGGCTATGTGTTTCTTCATGTACTGCAGTACAATGTTTGAGCAGTTAGCATTTGGCATGGATATTGTAAAAAAAGTGGTATCCTGGGATAGCATACTTTCAATAATTTTAAGAACTTTTTAGCGCATACTTTCAAGATTTTTCTTTTTTTCATCTGATATACGTTATTGGGAAAGAGCTTTAACAGGACACCAGTGTTTCAGGACCGACTAACAAGACTAAAGTTTTGTCTGCATTTAGTTTCAAGAAATTATTGTCTAATCATTAATGCTTGTATTTAGTGACTGAGCTGAGAACGTGGGGGATGCAGTGCTTATGTAGATCTGGATATCATCAGCATAACAGTGAAATTTAAACATATGATTACGAATGATCTGACCTTGTGGCGAGATGTATAATATGAAAAGCAAGGGTCCAAGGACAGAGCCTTGGGGCACTACCTGAGGAACTGGAGCAGTGGATGACTTTTGATGCTTTATTATGATTAATACCATCTTTATTAGCGCTATAAAAATGTGTTTCCCATTCCATGTCGGCTGTTATTCTTTTCAAAAACCTGTTATATAAAAAACTGTTGCAAATGTACAGCATTTCGGAATTCAACTCTTCAATTGCTCCTGAAAATTGACAGAGATAATCCTTTAGTGGTTCCCCATTCCTATGTAGTCTTAATTGATGTGCTTTATAGATACTAGATAAAAGTGGAAGCAGAGACATATGAAAGCAGTCTGCATGCACAGAGGGGTGAACTGCGCCATGCTTGCGAGCCAATAAGATGCAAAGCCATAACATTTTCATTTGAGAATTCAAACGAGGCAGCAAACCAGCTGCAACAGGTCTAGCTTGGCTGCGAAACAAAGGAACCCTCTAAGGGTGCTGGGACTTCCCCTCTGCGTTCATAATAGGGTTTCTGCGGTGGCTTTAAAAGAATGTCTCATAACAAAACAGCGCTGTAGTAAAAACCAACAGTCGTGCCACCTTATCCTGTGTCACCTCAGCCTGAATCGGAACTGCAGCATCATCATTCCGGCTCAGACACTGAAAACACAGCCAAGGTTCTTTTCCCATGAGAACGTCCCTGCATGCAGGAATACAGGAAACCTGGAACATCCACTGACACCAATATCGATCTGAAATTGTTTGCATAAAAACTACTCGGGTTTAAAATGAGCTATTTTTGAATTGAAG